TTATATTGATGAGTGTGGTGATCATTGTGGCTATTTACTACTTTGGGAAAAAATACATGGCTTGTCGATTAAATCGATTGAAATCTCCAATCTTTCAAATGCACCCATTATAATTGCCGTACACTACCACGGGGCCACCGTTTAATGAATCAGATCACGGAAAACCATAAAACTTAAATTTTTGTTGTGTATTCTTTGCAATCTTACTCGTCTCTCTCTCGAATTTACTTTCTCTTTTCTGTTTTGTTTTATTTCTTTTTCTCGTTCTCTTTCTCTTTCTCTTTTATTTATTCTTTCTTCACCTCCTATACCAATTTGTCCTTCATCATCCACATTCTTTCACACTGCTTATACCTTATATATACATTTTTTTATTTCTGAGTGTACTACAATGGGTTAACCCGCTTGTACGCTTTGATTGAATAAAAAGTTTAAACCAAACGAACGGTTAGTCGAAGAGCTTTCTAACACTCGTTTCCATTAGAATAAAGTTGTTTCATCGCATGAATTAACAAAGGTGGTGAATTATTTCCTCATCAAAATGAGTTTGGAAGGTGTGAGAAAGGTCCGAAAATACATAACGTCGAATTCTCTAAGATCAAGTAAAAATATTTAGAGGAGGGTCGGTTCATCTTGGGTCTTTCATCTCGTTCTTTAAATAATCCACAAAACTTCGACTCATTCCATTTCTTTCTACATCTACCGTCTGCACTATTTCTGAGGGAGACCAGATTTCTAGTCTCTTTCAGTTTCTTGTTGTTGGTTCTCTGATTGTAACTAACGGCAACGATGAATTATTTTTTTCCGTCATTTTTGTGTTGTTGTGTAATCCAACTTCACGATGAACATATCTGATCACAAGTCGCAACAATTGTTTTCTAAATTTTTTTGATGTGCTTACGTAAATATAAAATGTTGAACAACTGTTAATGTAAATTAGAAATGACCGTGATAAATAGATGAGAAAATTTTCGATCATAACCCGATTCGAACTCTTGTCTGTAGAATATTGAGCAAATGTTTGGTAGCAAGTCGTAAATTTCTCATGGCAAGCATGCTAAATATAATCATTAACACAATGGGCACTATACCGGCTACTACAACAAATAAATACTGTAGAGTAGTTTATATAGCCCGTACATTCCACACAAGCCAGACTGGATTGTTATCTACACAGGAATATGCAATGAGACGAGCAGCCATGCCAGTGGAGTGGCGAGTATTAGACACCGAGCAATTCTTGGATGAGTAAATTCTCGTATGTTTGCTCGGGATGAACACATTGCATAATGATCGATACACGCGAAAATAATGTATGTTCGAGATGTCATGAGAGATGCATGAAGAAAATAGAGTCTCAGTTTACAATATTCAAATGGAGAATTCTGAAGATCAGCATGATCCAATCATAGGATGCAGAATTTGCGAACGAGAGACGGGGGGGAGGGAGGTAGCGAGCATGACAGTGAGTTCCCAAAACAGATTTCAGTACCAGACTTTCGTATTTCCAGAATATATTTCTGTTATTCCAGATAACCAACTAATATCTCATGTTTTTACTAAAACCCTCCATACTCTCCAACAAAGCTTACGAAAAGCCCGTATTTCACTACTTTGCATCACACTTCTCGATTAGCAACATTTTGAATTTGCACTAGAATTCTCACAATTCTGAAAATTCTCAAACATCTGAACTTGCATCAGACTTCTCGATCTGCAAAGTGTTGGATTTGCATTCATGTTGCGCAGGTTGGAGAAAAAGTGGATTTGCGGCAAACGTAAATTCTCCATAATGCCGATCCAATGCAGTATAAACTGTTGGAACAATACCGTAATTGATTATGAATATATTGATCACCGACGCGGCAAGAAGATACATGGAACATGCGTTGCCGAGATTTGTTTTCTGAAGGAATATAAGGCAATTTAGTGCGTTACCAATAACACCAAAGATCAGAAATGTGCTCATACCATATCTTGTCATTTGTTTAGAAACATCATTCAGTGACTTGATTGCTGTGAAAATGAGTTATTAACGGTTTTCTCGACGTTTATTTTTATACAGATATATCCTGAGGAGAGTTTTCACTTTTAATTATCGACAGAGATCTTATAAGTGAGTAAGAAAAGTATGCCTTTTCCTCTCTTATATATTTTTCTATGAAAAGTACTAGGTGACATACTTCTTAATAATACATGGCTGTATTTACGTTCCTTAGAATGTTCTTCATTTTGTTTCATGGTGTGAAACTCAGTGCAGAGCGTCCGATGTTAGAATCAAAGTATGTTCAAAGCTAAGAGTAATAAACGACGGAGACTTTGACATTTCGCTATTTACTGTCTATGATACAAAGGATTAGAATATGAAAACAAATTATGTTCCCTAGACATCGAATCTTATATAAGAATCTTATAAATATCTTGTTAGAATCGTGAAAGATTCTTACAGGATTTTTATCAGATTCTTATGAGAATCTTATGGCAGTCTTACAAAAATCTTATATAAGATTCCCCACGTAAGTGATAAGTGTTCGGTAAGATTCTTATAAGATACTTATAAGATTTTGATAAGATATCAGTAGGAATTTGATAAGAAATCGATAAGAATCTTGCTGAAAAAAGGAAGCATAGATCCCCTAGAGATCAAATCTTATGTAAGATTCCTATAGGCATCTTATAGAATATCTGCAAGAATCTTATGAATTTCTTATAAGACAGTCGATGGAGATGCGTGGAATATTGATAAGAATCTTATAGGAAGGATATAGTACAATTTCGTCACATTCTTTAGTAATCTGCACCCTATATTCTACTTTCTTACTATAATCTACTGTTTCATACGTGAATAAAATAATTTTCTTCCCACTTATTTGGTTTTTCTATAATAAGACCTTAGTCCCACGTGGGCAGTCTCATGACTCGCCCTCATTGTCTACTGCTTGTAGACCGGCTTTACTTCCCCAAATCTATAATGACTATAGGAAGAAAATGAAGTTCGAAAAATAAAGATATGTAAGTAGAGAATGGTAGTGCACGACATATTGCTCGTTTGCATAAATTCCGCTTTTTCAAACAGATCTCTAGCAAAATGCGCCACTTGAGATCCTTTTTTTTTCTATAAAGATCGGATTTAATTCGGACTCTCTAAGTCGTAGAAAACAGAGCAGCTCGAATACTACTAATATGCATCAAAACTCTTTTCATACCTGTCTTAATAAAGCACTAGAAGCAATCACAAAAGAACTTCATGTACAGTTACTAACATGACTCATCATTCAATAACCAGTGGTCAAAGAAAAGAATTTCTTGATTGATCGCAACAGAAAATGTAACTTCGAAAAACATTTTAATGAGTTGTTTCTAGCAAAATATAAATCTCTCTCAATATAATTTTGACAAAATTCTAGTAACACGAATTCATAGCATTTGATAGGTTCCTAAACGATTTCCTGTGTTTCGTAGGTTCCTATATGATGCAGGGTTACCCATTTAGTTTGCATATAGTCAAACGCTTTAATTGATGTAAATAAAAGTTCGTATGTTAACTTATCAAAATCTTATGAATTATTATCAGAATCTTATAAGAATCTTATCAATAAATTACGCATTTCCATCGACTGCCTTATATAAGATTCTTATAAGATTTCTATAGAACTGCCGTAAGTTTGGTCGCCTAGGGGATGTGCTAGCTTGATTTGAACTTAACTAGCTTATTTTATGGTAAGAATTTGATAAGATTTTGGTAAGATTTCAACAAGATTCTTATCGATTTCTTATCAAATTCTTACTGATATCTTATCAAAATCTTATAAGTATCTTATAAGAATCTTACCGAACACTTGTCACTTACGTGGGGAATCTTATATAAGACACTGATAAGATTCTTATAAGAATCCGATAAGATTTTCACAAAATAAAACGTCTAGGGTTGTATGCTTCGATTCTGGACGCATATCTTAAAAACAAATAAAAGTGTGATTTATTACTGTTACTCGTAATTTAGGATCGATTAACAATTGCACAATCTTCCCTAGTTCTCCAAATGTGACTCATCTCCTAACGTATTTAACAGAGACTTTGTGAGAGTCAAGAAATTCGATCGCAAATAGTAAAAACGCATCTTTCTGGGTAGAGTCAAGGTTCGATTCCTGCGACAACAACCATAACAACAATTATGAAAAGTGTATAAATTCTTAATGCTTTATAAAGTCGACGATTTACTGACTCTTCTACAATCTCAGCATATAACCGAGCTCAATAATGACCATTTCTCTTTCCGTAGTATCGCAATGTTTTTCGAAGTGCCAAAACGTGTGCAAAGCGTGTGAATCGTAGTGTTGTGTATTAAAAGCGATAAATGATATTGTTTCATACAGTTCGATTCGAATATTTGTACTGAATTAGGTTACTTTTTTCCGTATCAAGAATTGGATATCATCACAAATTCCACTGTTTTGTGAGCTTATATCTTTTTTCGAAAAGTCAATGATAATTGCTAGATGGCGTGTTCCTTTGGGTAATGTACCATTATAAGATCGATATAGCAATTTCGTTTGATTATGTCGATCAACATTCGTAACGGATTCTAAAACAAAGTAAATCAACAGCTTGACGACTTCTTTGTGTACATTGGGCTTACTTAATTGAATTCTACTTATCTCTTGAAGACTTAGTGAATAAAATATTGCAGCAAGCTTTACAAAATCAAGCTTATTTGTTATTCCACCTAATAATGCTGACAGAAAAAATAGTGCTTGTTCATTATCAATTAACAATGACCACATGACCACATCGATTGCTTGTACTATGGCTGTGCGATTCTTATAACCAGAAAACAAACATAAACCTTGTTTATTTGTCAAATTTCTCAATAAAGTATTACTATCATAGGAAATAACTTGTGTTCTATATTTAAACGTACTGCTGCCTGGTGACCAATTAGGTATGTCATTCACTGACGTATTGTTCGATTTATCACATTTTCCTTTTTCTCCATCACCATTGCTAATCAGACTTTTCTGATCTAATAACGGACCGAAACTACCATTGGGCAAAAATGCATTGTGTAGATCACTTCCAGTATCAAATAATTGTTTATTACTTATAATAGATCGACTTAAATTAACGTTTCGAAAATCAACGTGATCAATGTGAGCATTGGTAAAATTTGTTTGGAATAATGATGAACTATAAAATATTGTGTTTTGCATTACAGTATTCGTCAAGTCGGCTCGATCCAAGATCCCACCTTTGAAGAAACTGTCAGAAAGTACACATTCTGAAAAACTCGAATCGGTCATAATTGAATTGGTAAAATCAGCACGATGCAAATAAACATTGATAAATGTAGCATTGATTAGATAAACATTGGTTAACTTGATACTCTTTAGCCAATATTTCAGTTTTGATGTGGATGTAAAATTTAGATTATTCAAATCGGCACCCGACAAATCCACAACATGTTTTTGTGGATTCTTTTGGTCATAGGATATTAAATTGGATTCATAGAGAAATAATATTAAATTTCGCTTACGCTCTGAATCCAAGCGACGTAGAGTAGTTAATGTTTTTGAGCGAATATACTGCATCCTATCATTGATATTAATACTTTTATTATGTAATGTCAAATCGGTAATATCTCTGAGATAAGAACTAAACAGGTTTTCTTTTAGAGAATCGTCTTGTTGTTGTTTATCTTGAAGTCGTTCTTGTACCGCTATATCATTCTCTAGTTCACGTTGTTTTTGAGCTAAATGATTGTCTTGTTCACGTTGTT